TTTTGTTGTCTCTTATTTTATACATATATACTTAATGTCGTTTATTAATTTTTTATATATAATGTATGTGTTAGAATCCATATAAATGAATTAAATTTACTCAACCTATCAGCTTAAGCTTTTAGGTTGAGTGATAGTTTGTTCATTCTTAAGATGGTATAAGAGCGAGAGGTCATATGTTCGAACCCGTACTAGACTAGGTCCACGAGGCATTAGAGAAAATCAGATCAGCTAAATAACCCACCTGACATAGTTGAAGACTGGAGTATGATAATAGATCACCATATCACATGGCTATTCATGTGAAAATGTATAATTTTTTTTATTGGTGGCTCAACTGGTTAAAACATATATCTTCGACGAAAAGATCGTGGGTTCGAAAAACCCTAACCTCACATATGTTGTTGTACTAAAAAAACTGAGGATGAAAAATGATCAGACAATTTCTCACAAAGATACGCAATTCTATGTAACCTCACTAAACTTGACTCGACACAAGTTCAAACTAAGTGCTAACTTAAGCTTTAGAGTGTATGCGGTTATATTGGTGCAAAGTTATCTTTGCAAGTCCTCAACTCTGTTGGATAAGAGATCGTCCTATTCAAACGCGGACTTAGTAATCCTGCATCGCTAATAAAAAAATTTCAATACCTAGTTCATGGAACATATTCTTTTATAGACTCCATATTAATTTAAGCATACTATTAAAACTAAATGTACAAATTAAATTTTAACCTTATACTTCCCAACTAACGTTTACTAACCATCATTGTATACATTATGTATTCTACTAACTTATCCATCAAGATATATGTATTCCCAACTAACGTTTACTACTAACCATAATAGTAACTAAGTTGTATGACCATAGTAATAACTAAGCTGTGCCATACAGAGTTCATTAACTTATAAGGGGAATTTTAAATACGACTGTAATACATAACTCTCTTATTATTACCAAATTATATAATTAATATATAATAACATGAACATAACTCAACTAATTAAAACCTATTTCTGACCAAAGACCGGTAAGTTTGAATTTTCGCGCCCACATGTTTATACTAAAAAATAAATAATAGATATATTATTTATTAACTCACTAAAGATGTCACATCATCCATCTGCAAGTTCAACTAATGACACATATTATTGATAAATATTATCAAAGGCTGAGACCAAATTGAAATAACTTATAAAATAAGTAAAAAATGTATATAAATTAAATAACTAAGTTAATTAATAAATTATTTGGAGAAATGTATGTGTAAAGTTGACTCAAAATAATACTTGTACATATACAAAATATAATAAAAAAAAATAAAAATGAATATAAAAATACATAAAAGAGCTTTTTGTTTATAAAACAAAACACCCGAGCCGCTCCCACCACAAATTGGGGAATCTAGAACATGTTTGGCAACCCATTGATTAGGAAAGTTAAAATTATGCTTATTATCCACTAAGAAAAAGCATTCTCCAAAAGACTAATCTGCCCTTCCTTGAAAGACGAGTATATATGTTTCCATCAAACAGCCATTATTGGCCACCTAATCAAAGATTTTTAAATAACATTAATTATATTAATTTTTATTGGAGGACCATAGTGCAAAGGGTTTGACAGTGATAGCTAGCTTTGCGTTTCTTTTTGAATAATAATTGTTATACTTAAAAATTTCACTTTGAAACTCATCTCTCTTATTTGAAATAAATGGTTAAAATGAGAAATAATAATTTAAACGGTTGAATATTATTGACTTTTTATATTGAATCGAGATTTAATGATTATTAGAATAAGTGGATAAACATAAATATTTTTATAATGAATTCAAATTCTACCCGTCATCTATTTAAGATATTTGAAGTATCTTAAATGTTGTAAGATTATACAACTATTTTGTAAACTTAGCTAGGTGTGTAAGTTAATTGGCACACTCATAGTTAAAAGAAGAAAAAAACCAACCAATACAATGTTAGTATCATTATGATTACACTACTAGATAATTACTTTGAATAAATTTATTCTTTTAATTTAATGAATTAATTCACACCAATCAAAAAAAAAAATGCATAGTTCATAATTAACCTATTTTCATCCATGAACATTGTCTACATAATTATTTTTTACTTTTTAATTTAACAACTCGGGTGAAAATTAGTAACTTTTAGTTCAATTATATATTATACTTAAACTTGCTTAACCTTATTATTTTTTACTTGAAATGTAATTCAACTAACAAATTTCCAAAAAATTTTCTCCTCATTTTAATCGACAATAAAAACTCGGAAAAACACCCCAAATAATTTCCTTCGGAAAAAATAGATCTTCAAGTGAAAATGACATTTTTACCCATGACAATTTATTTATTGCCCAAAACATTGGGATCTAAATAGATTAGCAATAAAGATTAATAATGTGGGTCAGAGTGGCAAATGATAGGGAAATTAAGTAAAGCGAGTGGACCACTGGAAAATGTTTATTTTATTTTTATTTTTATTATTATTATTATTATTATTATTATTTCTTTTAAGAACGGAAATTGTTTAATTAAATAAGGGAAATGGGTTTGTTGTATGGTTATGTTATTGTTATCTCACATGGGGTTGGCAATTTAATTACAGAGCCGTTGACCATCCAAGACTTTTCTCTTCGATCTGGCGAGTGGCGATTTTTGCCTTTTGCTACCATGTGGGGGCTCAGACAATTCCTGCCCAATTGCTTCCACGTGTATTGATTTCATTTGAAGTTACAGTATAAAAGTTAAAATCCCATTTGTAATTTCCAAGTTCCAACCATAGGTTAAAAAATTAAACCCACTCCATAATCGAGCACAAGCTACGTAACCAATGAAACCCACGTTAATTGAATTGAACCACTTTGGTAAAGGGTCCTCCCCATGTCGCATTTTTCTCTCTTTAATACTATAAAATGTAAAATATAGGTTTAAAATATTAATTTAGTTGATCCGCAATTAAGCTTGATTTATTTTAATCTATGTCATTTTAATTATTGTAAATTCAAAACATTTGTTTTGGTCTATTTACTTAAAAAAAAAAAAGACCAATTTGTATTTACAAAATTTTAAATACATAATTTATACACAATACTTAAATACAAATTTATGACTACATTTTCATAAATTTAGTGTGTGAATTGCTTTGCTAAAATTACGATTGAAATGAATGAGATAACGAAAAATGAAGAAATCAAAATGGTTACTTTTTAAGAGCATATAAGGACCAAACCGACGTTTTGAGAGTACATGACTAAAATGAACAAAATTTGAAAATATAGAGACAGAAACAGACGTTTTGAAAGTACAAATATCAAAATAAATTAAAGTTGAAAGTACGTTGACTAAAATAGTATTTAAACCATTATTTAACCATTGCTATATGCCAATGACCTTTATATTGTTAAATTGGCATATCAGAATATTATTTTAGTGATTAGGTATTTTTAACTCTTAATTTTGCTTTTTTTTAAGGGTGGAGAGATTTAAGCATAATCTACAAAGATGGTACTGTGTGCATTATTTATCGAGCTAGGTTTAGATTGACAGTATTTCTTAAACTTTTGAATCATAGATCTGAATCCACGTTCTCCTTAAACTTTTGAATCATGGATCTGAATCCACGCTCTTTTATTTGTGAGTAATATTAAAAATGAAAGTTTGTACTAGTGAATATTATATGTATTATTTGAAACCATAAATTTGCCTACTTTAGAAAAATTATAAATTATCATACATGACCTATAAATAATTTAATTAGTAACTTTGTTCCATTTTTTTTGAATATTACCTTCCAAATAAAAGGAATAAATGTTTGAACTTATCGATACTTGCTAGTTGAGTTATGTTCAAATTGATGTAAATTTATTATATTTAAAACCTCATCTACATGATTATTTAATACGTAAATAATTTGAAATTATAATTTTGTGGAATTTAAATAATTATAGTTTTTTATGCTGATTATTTATACTAATAGTTGTAAATTTGTTTGAACTAAAAATCTACAAATTTACTCCATTTTTAATACCTTAATTTAATAAAATATTTGTTAAAACCTTACTATCAAACTAAATTTAGTGATAGTTTTCTTACCTACAAAATATCACTTATTTATTTATTTATCTTACCAAGGACAAAATATAAGTGTGAGATTAGTTTTGTAGTTATTATATATTTTTTACTATTAACCATAGCAATCATATTTATGGATACTAAAGTATCGAGATAAGTTTTATAATTTATCAATTCGAACATAACTAAGTAGATAAAATATCTATTATCTTTTTAAGGATAGATGATCCGATCTCCCACCCTCACAATTATTATTCTAAGAAACAAGTACAAAGAACTCGAATGAATTTTTATTCTATTATTTTAGTTCAAATTCTTTAATTTAATAGCTAACAAATGATAGATATAAAAATTAAGTCAAAATATATTGGTTGAATATGTAATTAATTAAACGAACGTAACATTTATAAAAATTAAGGTTTCTCCAATTTACTAGGGGTGAAAATATCACCTAGAATTAAAAATTAATTTCCCATTAAAAAAATAGATTTTAATTAAATATATGCTGAATTTGAAGGACCATATCTCAAAGCTCCAGTTTGCTCCCCGWAGACGCTGGCTCAGAAACTGCGCAAAATCCATTGAACGTAAAATTTAGAGAGAGAAATAGAAGAGAGAGAGAGGGAGAGATTGGCTGGCACACGTGGCAGGCTTATTATCGTGAATTGAATCCACTGACCACTGTCAAAACTACGTCGTTCGGGCGTAGAGCCACGCGTCAGTTAAACACGTCATCGCTGAAATGGCGGGGAACAACAAAATCGTTTTTTAAAAAATTTCCCAGCTCGCATTTCTCAATGTGATCGTACGCTTCTGATTCTCTCTCTTCCCTTTCCTTTAAAACTGTCTCTGCGTCGTTCTTGTTTGAGTTTCCGCTCAATAATTTTCCCGGAAAGTAGAGAGAGAATCGATCAGAAAATACCAGAGAAACTAGAGAGAGAGAGAGAGAGAGAGAACGCGGTGAAATTTGTTTTGTTAGTCCGAGGATTTTTCATTAGGCGCTTCAATATTCAGTCGCAAGGAATCAGAGACGGATTTTATATAAAATTAAGAACAAAAAAGGTAATCGAAAAGGCCAAGAATTCTCTAATATTTTTGACCTCTGAGTGCACATGGCTTCCTAAGCTTGTCTTCTCTCTCTATCGATTTTTTATTTTCTCTCTCGTTTTTCTTCTTTTTCCCTCACATGCTTCCTCTCTCTAGCATTGAATCACTTTCTCTTCTCTCTCGCGCGCGCAGTGGCTGGCTCTGATTTTTAATACTACTCGAAGCTTTTGACATTGATTGGCAAAGATTCCTCAGATCTACAGTGGAAGGCATTCGCTATTCTTGATTTTTCATTTCGGTTCTTTGGAGGGAGGCTTCGGTGCTGTTTGGCTATTGTCGATTGGAATACGAGGTTAGCTTATTGAACTGTAATCGAGTATTTTCTCTTCTGATTGTGAAGCATGATCCGATTAATCGTGCGCTCTGCAGCTCCGTCCACTGCGTTCGTAAATGTGCTTACCACTACGTTTTGACTTGCTCTTGGCAAATTACTTTGGCTTCATTGTTCTAAATCCGATCATGGATCGGAATTCGAGTTTGGAGTCATCTTTTCGCTTCTTTCTTCGGTCGTTTCACATTTGGAGTTTCGTTATGAATCTGGAGGAGTTCCTTCACCATCTTCGGATTTCCTTTCTAACTTACAGTTTTGAGCATCATGAGCTTTCGCTGAGAATCAAACCGCTTCACGCATGCATTTTTTTTTTTTTTAATGGTTGATGTGCATCTTTCACCTTCAAACTGAAAAATCTTCGCAATTCAATTAGTTACGCTTACGCTTGTGTCAATTTCTGATTAATTTCGTTTTGGGAGAAACAGAAATCCGCGGGAATAATCTGAAACTATTATATGTATGGATACTTCGATTGATGTTAAGTTTTGGTCTATAGATGAGTAGTCGTGCAGTTAATCAATTCATTCAGTTTTCTGCATATGCAGGACCTGCTCTCTAACTTCTCCCATCAACGACAGCTTCAAGGTTTGCTCCTATTTATCCGATAACACCGTCTAGTGGCGTTGGATGGAACATGGAGCCAAGACTCCCGAAGTGTTGCGGCCACAAGGAATTTATTTGCTGGAGCATTGACTCGTCTACTTTCTGGTGTAAGTTGGAAGAAATTGTTGAGTAATTTGCCATGGTCTGCGAGATGGAGACTGATGTTATTGAAGATATGGACATCGAAGTCCTTCCTTCTATGTGGCCCGAGGACGTTGGACCTGATGTTAGAAAGCAGTTCAATGTCGAAAGGCCAGGAATAGATCAAGATATGTTGGAAGAAGTTAACATAATAGAGGAACCAACAATCGTTGATTTCAAGAGACTTATAGAGTTAACCAACTATACTGAGAAAGGATCTTCTCAATTACAATATCTTGCAAAACAGTGGGAGTATAAGCAAGCAAATGCTGTGCGTCTCCTCAAAGAAGAACTCGACATCCTAAGCAAGCAGAGGAAAGAAGTCGAGCTCAAGAAATTGAAGATATTAGAGGAGCATCTTTTCGAGGAAGAAAGATATGGTGGCGATAAACGTCCAATCTCTATATTGGAAGAATCTTGTGACATATGGCAAGATATTCCGAGGAGAAAAACTGATTTCGTTGTTCAAAGTAAGAGAGTTGAAATTGATGCAGAGTATGATACAGTGACATACTGGAAGCAGCGAACCGTGGATCTGGAAAAATTATTGGAAGCTAGTCTACAGCGAGAGCAAATGCTTGCAGAGAAACTTCAGGAAAATATAAAAAATATTGAAAAGCAGTCCTCACCAGTCGAGGAATTGTCACAGATTCTGAAAAGAGCCGACAACTTTTTGCATTTCGTTCTACAGAATGCACCAGTCGTTTTTGGTCATCAGGTATTATTTGCACTGTATAATGTAAATCTTAGGATGGCATGTGTTTTCTGATGCACTTTAGTTCGTCAAGTTTTGACTTCTGTATTAGTTATTCAAATCATTTAAAGGGTCTTGGCTATGGTGATCTCTTGAATTAACAAATCCTTGTAGCTTTGAAAGGAAAATAACTAGTAAGACAGCTCAACCGCTCTAGTGTGTTTTGGATCCTTAACTATTATATAATTAACATGTTAATTCTGTTGGTCTTTCTGATTTTATTTAAATATATGATCTTACTTGCATCGCCATTATTAGATCATAAGATAAAAGAAACAGAGAAAATAGATAAATAATGAAAACAACTACTTGAAGCTGTAACTTCATATTTCTGCTCTACATAGTGAAGTTGTCTTTTTTTCCTTGATGGTTGTGTGAAATCAGTTTCCTCTAAGTCCACCATAAGGAACTAATTTTTTTAACACTTGCATTTCAGGACAAAGAATTGCGCTATCGATTTATCTACAATCATTTTCCAAGTTTGGAGGAAGAGGTAACCTTTTCTTTCATATGCTATTGTACAACTTATCAAATTTAAATCTAACAACTCAATGGAGCAGGACAGACTGTTACCTTTAGTTTTCTATTTGCTTCTTATGTAATGGAAAGGGTATTCTTTTTCCCAGGATATTATAGGAAGAACAGACGTTGAGATTTTTAGTGGCGCTGGTGTGAAGGAATCCCAAGATTTCAAGAAAGAAGTTCTGGAGAAAGGGTTGCCTGCAAAGAGGGAAATACAGTTCGATACAGAATTATTTGGGCTGAAGACCTTTCTGATTTACGTTGAACCTGTCTTTAGCAAGGCGGGGGAGACAATTGGAATAAATTATATGGGAATGGACATAACTGATCAGGTAATTTAATGACTTTCGGTACATTTATATAAAGTTCATTTCCCCTTCTAAAAGATGGTCATTTTAACTTTTTTCTAGATCTTGAGTGACGCGTTTTCTGTTTCTGTTGCAAAAGGTTAAAAAACGAGAAAAGATGGCAAAGCTTCGCGAGGAGATAGCAGTACAAAAGGCGAAGGAATCAGAACTGAACAAAACAATCCATATTACAGGTTAGTTTCTTCTTGAGACCTCTCTGGATGTTTAATTTCGCTCAATTTAGCTGCTGGAGTTCTCAAGTTCTTTTTGTTTTTGCTCTTCACACTCTTCCAGAGGAGACAATGCGGGCAAAGCAAATGCTAGCAACCATGTCGCATGAAATTAGATCTCCGCTTTCTGGGGTAGTTAGTATGGCTGAAATTCTGTCCACCACAAAACTTGATCGGGAACAACGACATCTGTTGGATGTTATGCTGTCTTCAGGAGACTTGGTGCTTCAACTCATAAACGATATCTTGGATCTTTCTAAAGTTGAATCAGGTCTGAATTTCTTCCCTTTTAAAATTGTTTTAATTCTAGCGTTTAAGCTATATGGCTTCATTAGTGTACAACTAGAAGTGATAATATTCAACTGTTATACTTGGATTATTTCTATCTAATGGCATGGTTAACGAAACCCAATTTACGTTTTGCTTCAATATAAACATGTGAGCTTTTGCCTGCTTTTATTAGGAGTAATGAGGTTGGAAGCTACAAAGTTCCGTCCAAGAGAGGTTGTAAAACATGTTCTGCAGACTGCTGCTGCATCATTGCGAAAATTCTTAGTTCTGGAGGGGCGTATAGCAGATGATGTTCCTATAGAGGTGATGGCTATAAATTCTTAGTTCGTAGGCTTCTTCATTCCTTTACATGTTTGAATTGGCATGCTTATGCATAAATTTTAAATATTTGGGCTTCTCAGATCTGTCCATCTAAAGAGGTTTATTTCGCGGGTGCAAGCATTATGAAAAGTAATCGCATGTTATAGTTGTCTAAATTGCCAATTAAACTATGCAATGATTCCAGGTCATTGGAGATGTTCTTCGGATTCGGCAAATCCTCACCAACCTGATCAGGTACTGAATTTTATAAACTATGAACCTATCTTGCACGAACAATTACAAATTCTAAGCCGTAGTTCAAGTAAAATACACAGTTATCTCAAATTACTAAGACGAGGGAGTAAGTAGGATATTCATCTTGGCAATGTGAGGTAATATGGTTCACCAATGTGATATAGAAATCCTTGACAAACATGCATAAGTCATACTCAAGGCTATAGTGTGAATATTTATGTGGAGCGGCACATATAGGTGATAGAAAGAGTTCTGAAGAGTTAAATGGATCAACACGTGGACGTGGACATGTAGACGTTAATTTTTTAAAGAATAATATTTAGGTATTTACCAGTCAGTACTCATCTTCCTGTTAACTACAACTAAAAATTTGACATCTCCTTGTTTTTTAGAAAAACAAAAAAAAAATATATTCTTTTATGCATTCATATTTCCTATTTGTGGAAAAAAATTAATGATGGTATTCCGGATGCTGACCCAAAAATTTGACATCTCTTTGTTTTTTAGAAAAACAAAAAAAAAATATATTCTTTTATGCATTCATATTTCCTATTTGTGGAAAAAAATTAATGATGGTATTCCGGATGCTGACCCATTCGATAAACACCTATTATTTATTCGATAAACACCTATTATTTTTTCTTAAAAGGAGTACATTCTATGGATTGCATGAATAAAATTGATACTAGCTTTAAGAACCTAGTAAGATTAAGGTTGCAGAAAAAGTTTAATGTTTCCATTCCCACAACCCATATTATTTTTCTCTAAATAGTTAATTAAATGATGCAGCAACGCAATCAAGTTCACTCCTCAAGGGAAGGTTGGAATCAATCTTTATGTGTTACCTTATCCACCTACTGGGAAAGGAGAAGAATGCCATAAGAAATCAACGGCTAATAACTCAACAGTTTCAGTAAATGGTGTGCAAGAAGGAACATGTCTTCCGTCCCCTCAGAATGGCTTGCGTGGCCAAAGCCACGCTGACAGAAATCATTTACATTGTGAATCGGGTAAAAAGAGCGAAGCCACGGTGAACGGAAATAGAGAAAACAACTCTTGTTCACCCGAAACGACAGTATGGATACGCTGTGATGTATACGACACAGGAATCGGAATAAAAGGTATGCTTGCCTATTGATCTGATTATTCAAATGTTCTTGCTGCTCAATAATAGGTAGTAATATTCATTTGATTTCTTTTGAAATGAAACAGAAGAGGCATTACCAACCCTTTTTAATAGGTACATGCAAGCTAGTGCTGATCATGCTCGAAAGTATGGAGGGACTGGACTTGGGCTGGCAATATGCAAACAACTGGTAAACTGTTACTGCCATCATGTTAAATTTTGCTTCAATTTTGAAGTGATATTAATAGTTGAGGAAGGTAGCAGTGCATATGATCCATCAGATCATGTTTATGCCTTGAGTTATGCCTCGAAAAATGTTCTTTCCTGGGTTGTACCACTTTACTTAGATTCTCGCCAGAGTGATATAGAGTTTGGGATGACTTTTGAAGAAAATGGTAGAAGTACTTATAGAAGAAATTAATTAAGTGCTTACTCTAACTTTTAGAGGTACTTTTTAAGTGATTTTAGAAGTGCTTTTTCTTCGCCCCTGCAAAATCATCTCAAACTTTTCCTTTCCTTAACCCACAATTTAATTACATCAAATTTTATGTGCTTGCTTTTGGAGCAGGTTGAGTTGATGGGTGGTCATCTCACCGTTTCTAGCCGAGAGAATCATGGATCTACATTTACATTTGTACTGCCATATAAAGTTTCAACCACCTGCAGTCCTTCCGACGATTCCGACGAGCTCTCAGACGAGGAATCGACAAACGACGAAATGACTGAGGGCTATTTCCAATTCCAACCCCACAGTTTCAGTTCCCTATCATCTTCCAATGGATCCACTAGAATCCCAAATGCCTTGTTACATACAACTGGATATCCTACCTCAACCAAACTCAATGGCTTTGCTGAAAATTCTGTTTCTTTTCCCTCAAACAACATCAAACCAAAAGAAACTGCTTCCATTTCGGCCAATTCCGCGGTAACCTCAAGCGAATCGCAATGTTCATCAAACCAGAACTCAAATCTTGATAACGAGAAACCAACTGATGGACTTCAGCCCGACACTAATTCTCGGCCCCAAAATGTGAGTGTGAATTCCCATCACAGATCAGAAATATCAAAACAAGAAGATACATTGGGAAAGACGAGTAATAAACTCCAGAAAACGGATCAGAGGAAGGAGAGATCCGATGCAAGTTCCCACTGCAGAAGTAGCAGTAGCGGTTCTGAAGCAACGGTGGCATCGGAGCCCAGAATTCTTCTAGTTGAGGATAATAAGACCAATATTATGGTAACTCAGTCAATGATGAAGAAGTTCGGCCATAAAATCGACGTGGTGACCAATGGAATTGAAGCTGTGCGTGCAGTTCAGCGACGTTCATATGATCTCATTCTCATGGTATGTATGCTTTACAATCGCTCACTTTTTTATTTCAGAAATTCATTCGTCTCCTGCTCCAAACTCAAAATTTCAGCTTTTTTTTTCTCTCTCTTTTTTTTAAATGCACAATTACGAAATACTCTGTTTTTCATTATTTCATCACTTTCGTATTTTTACAAAAATTTATATTATTTTTTAAAATATGGCATGTGATATGTCGGCATTATTTTTACGTTTTTATTATTTTTGTAAATTTGAAAATTTATTGCTAAAAATAAATTATTATAATAATTATTATTTTTGCAATGCACTTTATTTTCGATGTCATATTATTATAATGTTTTATAACCGCACACATTTTGACTTCAGAAATTCTTGAAAATGGCAATAAAATTATATATATTTAATATAGCATCACTTTTATTAATATTTTTTTTTAACAAAAATAACATATTTGAGTTATGACATGTGATATGCTATGATTGGTTTTACTTTTACATTTTTTTTATTTATGTAAAACTAAAATGTTGCTACTTTAAAATTATAATATCATATTTTTATTTACTATTTTTTAATTCACTCATTTTCATGCTGTTTCATGTAGTAAAGTTGTTACAGACTTCCTCCTCAAAATAATAATAAAAAAGAAAATACTTGCTCCTAAGTAAAAGACCCATATGGTGCCGACAACAATTGAAAATTTGATATTAAAATACTAATGATTTTTTTCAATGATAGTAAAGACTAATATAATCCTTATTGGTTAGAAGAAATATTTTTTTAATAATAATAATAAAATGAAATATAAACAACATAGTCAAAGGCTTCGATTCAGAGCGTGGGTTTAAAATGAAGGATTTTAAACCTGTGGTAAAATTTTATTTAACGGCTTAATTACTGCAGGATGTTTGTATGCCAGTTATGGATGGTCTTCAAGCTACAAGGTTAATTCGTTCTTTTGAGGAAACGGGAAGTTGGGAAGCAGCTGCAAATGCTGGGATCGACCCAACGACTCCTTGTTGGACCCCATCGTCCTCCCGTCAGAGGATGTCCATCATTGCTGTGAGTACTTTCAATTCCCCAATTTTATTTTGTCTACTACTAATTTTTGTAATTAAAAAAATTATAATAATAACATTCATTAAAAAAAAATCAGTAAGTTCATACCATTAATTAGGTGAATTAGACAAATTGCATGGTTAAAAGAAATAACCAGTCTTGAGTTAATTTTTCTTTAAAACATAATGGGACCATTAAAATAGAGATTAAAATAACAGAAGCAATAAAGTATAGTACAAGGATGAAGTATAAAATTGTCTTTTATTTACATTTAGATTTATATGTAATATAGAAAAAGAAAATTAAATGATGAAAACATAATAACAAGGATAAAAGGTAGATCTTCTTATATAAAGTTTACTAATTAAAACATAAAATTTTAAAGTGTTGATAAATAAAAATAAAAATATTTAAAAGTTCATGACCAAAAATAAAATTTTAAAATTAAATGATGAAAATATAATAACAAGGATAAAAGGTAGATCTTCTTATATAAAGTTTACTAATTAAAACATAAAATTTTAAAGTGTTAATAAATCAAAATAAAAATATTTAAAAGTTCATGACCAAAAATAAAATTTTAATCTTATAATAATATTTAATCATATGTACCCCAACCAAAGTTGCTCCTCTTTGATCAACTTTCGTTAAAAGTATTGGGTTGGAAAAATGATAGAAACAGAGTCTTTTTGAAAAGATACACAAAAGAGAAATTACAGGCATGAAATGTTAGAAAATTGTTTTAAAATAACAATATATTATGACTAATGTAAAGGATAAATTTTATTTAGAACTTTAATAATTATAATAGTATGGATGAATATAGAATCATAAAAAATAACACAAATTATTCAAAACTCTATGCCCTTATATTACAATTTTGTTTTTTCACTTTCTATTTCTGAATTAACTTCCGTAAAACTACTACCTTCAGTTTATCACCTTAAAAAAAATCTGTGATTTTGTAAAATTTGGACCCTGATTTAAATTTGCAAAGGCGATGAAAAAGTAAATAAAGAGGGTTAGATAAAAAGAAAAACTTCAAATTTTGAATAAGTTTAATACAAAAACTCTTAATGTCTTCCGCGTCTAGATTTTAAAGGTAACTTTCCAAATAATTTTCATAAAAAAATTAGCATTTTTTAGGAATAATGTTTCCGCAGGTACATAATATTGGTAGTAATTGCGTTGCGTTATATAGTGAAACTGAATTGAATGGTGACGTACCTGCAGATGACGGCGAACGCACTGTCAGAAAGCGCAGATGAGTGTTATGAGAACGGTATGGACTCATTCGTACCAAAGCCGATCACCTTCCAAAAATTGAAGGAGTGTCTTCAACAGTATTTACCACAACGTCCCTTGTAAATGTATTATCTCAATCAATTATGCTTTTGCTTTTGCTTTGAGAAAGAAAGGCCAAATGTATGGTAGAAAAATAGAAGTCAGTTCAGTAGGAAAGTTTTGTAATGTAATCACTGTAACATATCTCATCTCTCCCTTCCACTATCTGCCCCCATTTGTAAATTGTACAGAAGAAAGCTGTCCTCCTTTCCCCAGAGGAAATTTGTAATAAAGTTTTCACATTTTGCTTTCCTCAGAATTCGGTACTTATCACTAACACTCGGATGGTTTTACGCACTCAGCCATAGTTGGTCGATAGGTTCTTTCCTTTTAACAACGTTTATCATAATAAAAATTTGGCAATTTTTTTAAAGTTTTTTAAAGTGAAAATATATTTTTCTTAGATCTCTCCTACTTGTCAAAAATTTGATATAGATTCTCTTTTTTAATAATATTTAGGTGTTTAGTGATCAACACTCATCTTCATACGGATAACCAATAAAAATTTGACAGCTTTTCATTTGTATTTGTGGGTGTTCAAGCTGCCTTACGAGTCCAACATCTTGATTCATCTATGGAATAATTATCTAAATCATGGAACTCTAAGGACATCAATTCTAAAACATTATCCATTTAACCACTAGACCCATTCCATTTATAGTACTACAAAAAATTCTATTATATTTTACTGAAATCCTAATGTTACCATATAACTTCAACATCATTAATCTCGACTAAAAATATTTAAGGAAAACCTTTTTCAAAATAAAAGACATGAGAAACATTGATTAAAAGAGAAAAAAAAAGGAGTGTTGTTCTTTTATATTTAGAAACCATCTAGAATTAAAGGTTTATTGAAACTCACTTTTTTCAACTCAAAACAAATATTAAATGTCCATACAAAAACTGGACTTCTATCCCCCACATCTGTTGTGCTAAAAAAAACTTTTTTTTAACCATTTCCTATCTTTTATTCTCTAAAATTTTCATTTAAAAATTCAAAGTTTTACTTCAAAATTCTTTTTAAAACAAAACATTCAGATTTTTAAAGTCATTTCTTCATTATTCTCTTGATATCAGATTATCAATTGAGCATTTTATAAGTACGCAAATAAATTTGAAAACTTGAAAATATAAACAATTGTTGAAAAGAAAAAATGAAAATATTACTAAACAACCCCTTAATGTTTCATATTCATTGTAAATTATGGGAAGGTAATCCTTTGTTAAAATCTGTTTCGTTAACTAAATTTTAAAAAATAAAAGAAGCAGCCCGATCAAGACGTATTGACAGTTATAGGACTTTCAAGACGTATCGACAGTTATAGGACTTTCAAGACGTATCGACAGTGATAGCATTCAATAGCAGTGAAAGCATTAAATCAGGTTACCTAAACTATAATCTGCTAACCGTTTTCCATCACAAAAATTTTAGCTTAACCAACATTATTTAATAATCATTCAAACAGGTCACCTGTTTAGAGCTCAAATATTTAGTTTTACCCTAGAGTAAGATATCTACTTGTAAAAGACTAGATATATCGATGGTATTTCTGAATAATAATGGCCCGATCATCCTCTTGAACCTAAGCAACTAGCATATTTAGCCAAGCAAAAATCCCTTTCCCAGGTCACTGGTCATTAGTAGTGGACAGAGTGCAACAAACAGAAAATAAAAGAAAAACACACTACATTGCATCACAAAATCTTCCTAGAGATATCCAAGCATAGAAAGAAAGTTATAATAGCGAGATCCATGAAGTCAACAAAATATAAGAGAAGGAAATAAGAAACCTGCAGGCCGAGCTTCGACAGCCACTAGGACGAGGAGTTGAGTATTAGACTCCCAAAAGATATGAACCACAAAGGCCAAGAGTATACTTTCCTTGCATCATTAATTTACAACCAGGTATGGTTAGAATTAAATTAGTAGTGGATGTGTCGTATAACTAATGACAAAATATTTCACATGATTGACTACAATGAATCACAGAGCAAGTAAATTAAAACCAAATTACTTATAGAAGTAGCAACTCAATTGAATAAAAATAATCTTTCTTAAGAATGGGTTATAGCAACCCAGTGAACCAACATCACATATTGGATATGGAGAAACCAGATGTTACCAAAAGGCCACTTACTTAAAACATGCTCCATTACCTTTTTGAAACAGGAGATACCTGATAAACACAGGACTTTTTTATCATTTTTTACCCTAAAAATGACAAGGTACGAAACAGAGATTTCTTGCAAAATAAAATAACGTGCTGCCAAACAAGGAGTATTTTCATGATAACAGAACAGTGGAACCATAAACAAGTACACAAACTGGACCTCAATTTTTTTTTTTTTTAATGAAAAACTGTACCTCAAGTTCCATCATCTCTGGAAGATAGATACATTCAACTCAAGGTGTGCTGGCTGATAACCTCTATTTTCCTTCAACACTATTTTTTGTACCAAGTTAGTAATAAAAAAAGATATATCAGTTCTAGGTACGATTTTATAATGTGAACCAAACTATGAGCTCCACAATTAGGAATCATGGTCTTGGACATTGAAGTAGGCAGTAAGAAGGAATTCTGGTTTAGCTTGAAAACTCGTGAAAATGAAAAAGTTCCTCAACGCTACCTCTTGAGAACCAAAGAAAAAAATGACGCAGGAAAATTACAAATAATTTCTTATGATTGGATTAGATTAAATCTTTTAGTTCAGTTTTATTTCACCTCAACATAAAACATTATGCTATCGACGAAAATCGAAAAGTTCTTCCAATTGCACAGACAAACCACCTCCAGTTTCTCATGACTCGTTTATCACGAAAAACAAGGCCAATGAAGTAGTCATCGCCTGCAATCAGCTACCAGCGTCAGTCCATGCGAACAATCGTTTAATCGAGATTTTACACTGTAGACCTCCAGATATCTAATAATGAACAGAGTTAGATTGGATACTTATTGTCTCGTTCCAGCCGATTGAAATATAAAATCGACTTACCATTACAACACGGATGATACGTAAAATATTAGAAGATCGCGAGCACCAGACCGCATTTCATTATATCGAAAAGCATATAGCAATTCGAAAACGCTAAGAGTATCGCCATAGCAATTTCTGTTCAGAAACCTCTTGCGCAACAACAGCTACGAGCCTCATCCTGAAAGAAAAAAAAAATCAAACAAGGACGCGAAACGCCATAATCGGACAACAAATTAGACGTACGTTCAAGAAATACAAAGATATATTCTACGATTTTATATTTCAGAAGCAGAAAACTACTAGAAACTGAAAAGAATATGAAATGCAATTAGTCTGTCGCCGAACGAAGGTGGATGAAGATGAGTGATTCTAAATCGACAGAAAAAATACCTAAAATCGAAGGTCCGAGAGCAGCATCTGTGATCCGCTAACCGCCAAAGAATCCTCCACCAAATCATCGCGAAGAAAAATCGAAAATGAGAGTGCAAATTAGGGCAATCGATTTCGATTTTGGAACTCTCAGGAACAGTAAAAGGCGCGAAAAAAGGAAGCCGAAGCGGATCGCGTTCTCTTCCCTCCCTCTCTTTGCTATGTCTTTAATCTTCTGTTTGGATCCAAAGAAAGTGAAGCCGTTGCGACTTGCGTTTATATACTGGCGCCAGGCTGGATAAAGACGAAATACCACGGCCGTACGAATTACAATTTGTAACATTGGATAAAACGAGAAATTGGAAATCCATCGAGCGGTTCGTATAAGAAACCCGACCCGATTAGTTGTGGGCTTCGGCCCAATTTCTTGGTTTGGAAAGAACGTGGGACCTAAAGTTCGATAAATATAATTTTTTTTATTATTATTTTATTGCAAAAATTCAGACTTACAACTTTTTTTTATCTGGGAAATAGGTATTCTAACCATGTTGAACTAGATCTTTTTAATATTATATTGTGAAAGAGCTATCCAAGATTCAAATCTAAAATAACTTTTTAAATAATTTAAAAAACAAAATCATACTGCTATTCTATATAGTTCAAATTAATTGAAGTGGTTTTTGATGAAACATTATTGTTTTGTTTTCTACTTGTTTTCGTTTTTTTTTTTCTGTTTTCTACTTTTAATAAATAAAAACAGAATTACATGTCTCAACACCCGTTAATACGAAAATGATAAAATAATATTTTTATTTCTATTTGAAATAAATCAGAAACGGAAGCAAGAAACAAGATATTTATTTTTGTTGTTTCAAAATTTTCTATACGATTTTGAGGATTTTGAAAATGCTTCTAAAAACATAAATAGTTGCAAATTTTTTAGGTTTCTTGATAAAATTAGAAATGAAAAAACAAAAACAAAAAGTTATCAAACGGAGTCCTCAACGCGTGCCTTCTAGTTCTCAATCTCCAAACTGAATTTCACCTCATGAATTTCCTCCATCCACAGTCCTTCAAATTGATTCTCCATATAGCCCATCTTGTTATCGCATGTGCAATGAAATTTGCAGAACGCTAAAGTTTGTAATTTGGTATGTATAAAAATTGTTCAATAATTTCTTTAAATTGGATCATTAATGAACATTTTTGTAAAAAGTAAAATTGTAATATTTTTATGGAACTTTCGCATTAAATTCTGCAAATGACTAAAACTATTACTTGTTTAAAGAATTGAAAAGTTGGTCAAAAAAAAAAAAAGAGTGATACATTAAGATTAAACAGTGTGTAAAAAAATATTTCTCAAAAAATATATGTATATATTTCTATATATAATCCGTAAATACACGCTCGTATTTTAGCCTGTGTAAAACATATAGTTCCCATGTTTTTTTCGAAATCACAGATTATTGGCCTAAAAAAATTGCACATTGGACTCTTGAAGCCAACTTTTTCTCAATACAATGAAAAAATAGATATATATTTTTCAAGTTAAAGATCATATTTACAAGCAAGTTAAATAGTGAGGATATTATTTACAATTCTTACATATCCTACGTATTTCTATTCAACTTAATGAAGAAAAAATTATTTAAATTTTAAAAGAAAATGCATAAGAAATAATCCTACAATGCTCAGTGCAAGGATAATCTTTACAATAAATTCATATATACATATATATAGCTTTCTATCAGTTACTCCTAAATGCTGTTTTATAGCTTTCTAGAACATAGTGGCGTACGTCATCCCAACTAGTCCATTTTTTTTATTATATTTATTTATTAATTTTAGGAGCATAGTTGATTAGATATGATATTATTCTCTTCTGAAAATGCCACAATTCAATTATGTTATATGTAGTGCTCTTGGGTTGAAATTTAGATGTTTAGGAAATTATAATATATGATTGTAAGATTACCATTCTAACCTTTCATATTCCTTGTTATAGCTATATGAAATTGTAAATTTAATCCTTGTAACTTATATTTAGTTTGATTTTTATACTTTTGAAATATTTCATTTTAATCCATATAAGTCTCGATATAATAACTTATTCCACAAATAATTTTGTTATCAACAATTTGGAACCTCTTAATAGTTGATGTTCGAGGTCTTATTGACTTAGGTAATCAAAGTCTTTAATTTTCCCTCCTCTGATCAAGTATAATTTCCCACACGATAAGTAAGAATTTAGATCATAAGAAAAAAAAAAGGCATCGGTTGATAGTTGAACCCCTTCTAGGATTTTGCTTTTCCTTGTTTACTTGTGTATTGTGTCACTAGGAACGTTTTCTAGTACTCTCTATAGTACTTATTCTTTTCGTTCACATTACGAACTTTTATTTATGGTATTAGTTTTTTAAAACCTCACATCAATTTTCAATGATATTAGCACGACAAACAATAAATGACAGTAATATCCATAGTACGATAGTATATACAATTTTCTTTGTGTCAGCATTAGAAAAAAGTTGTTATATTATAAAAACAAATGTTCACAAAAAAAACATTGTTTGGACCATTAGAAATGCATCTATAATCACACATTATAATATATTTTAAATATATATGATATTAATTTTATCGCCATGTTGATAAGATATAATAGACGAGTGAATGTAACTTCTCCAACTATCAAATCATTGTTTAATATATAGTATCTTTAAAATATAAATATCTGTTCACTATTGTTTCTACCCAAAGAGGTTTATCGGAAAGATCTAATAAAAGGTAAATACGTTATGTACTTTAAAATAAAGTACTTTACATTATTTAATTAGATATTCTTTGATACATTAGATAGTGCATCATATTAACCTATTAGTGGGGCGCAAAGCCTTTTTATTTATTTATTTTGTTCTCTCTTGTCGATAATATATTGATGGTAAATTAATGATTAAAAAGCACCACTTTGGAATTTACAACATATATAAATTAAAATTAAAAGTCCAAAATATTTTATTTGCAAACAAGTCCTAAAATGGATTTTGATTTGGGGCCCACACGAGCGGTGTTTGCCTCTTCACTGAACAATTGAGTCCCTTTTACTTTTTTTGAGAAGTGGAGCCAAAATGCCCCGAGCCCCCAAAGGGCCAGATTTCCTTATTTATTTTAATTATTAATAATTTATTATTATTATTATTTCTTTTTTTGGCCAATCCACAGTGGAGGTGGAGAAGCAAAGCATAAACGGATATTTTTCTTATATCTCACGTATAAAATTGAGGTATAAAAAATACTCCGCGATTGTAGATCTCTCTCTTTTCTTTTTGTGTTTCTTTAGATTTGGTTCTATTTAAAATTAAGGGAAAAAATCATTTCTTTAATTCTAAACTTAACAAGTTGTAATATTATTTTATTTTAAATTTATTTGACAATTATGAAAATAAATGTATCATAACTAAAAATTACAATTTGAATATTGTAACATTTATCAAAGTTTTATGTCAAGATGAAATTATAAATTCAAGGTAAAATAATATTAAAAATGATTTTTTTACTATAGTTAAATAGTAAATGTCATTTATATCTTAGTGGTATACTACCTCAATTACTATGGAAATTTTGATATGGGTAAAAAATTTTAAAATTTCAAGAAAATGGCATAAAAGGAAAATAAAATATCATAGTTTTTTAATTTTAGTACAACAAGAGGGATGGAGGAATTTGAACTTCTAATCTTAGCCGGATCCCATTTTCTGATCGGTTGTTTGTTTGAATTTTTTGGATTTTGATACCATGAATTTCATCTCAAAATCTATTGACAATAACAAGAATAGCTCATGTCGAATCATTATAAAATCTATTTTATTTTTCCTTAACATGAACTAAACTCATATTAGCAATAAAAAAACCATATTAACTTGATAAATGTGAAATGCAGTGCATACAAAAAGGTTAGTGATAAAAGTATTTGCCGTGGTACCCACACCCAAGCAACCCCTTTTCAAGCGTCTTTTACAAATATTACTTAAAAAAAAAATAGCATAAAGTTCTTTTCTTTTGGTGCCCAAAATACTATATTTCGAAATCAATGTTGAATATTCTAATTTACGGAAATATCCATTGAAACAGAAGGGTAATTGAGTAAATTGACTCTCTCAAATGGAAATACTATGCTAGGCTGCTAGCTAGTTTGTTTACCCGCCAGCCGCCCCACATCACAATCTTCGCGTGCGTTTCGAGATGACCCGACCCGATTCCGTGAGTGCATATGGCCCACCACGAGTCGTTCTTGATTTTGGACAGTTTTAAATACATACATATTCTTCATCAGAATAACACAAATAAAATTAAGAGTTATTCTCGTAAATATAATAAAATAAATAGGTATTTTCGAACACAATATATATATATATATATATATATATATATATATAATTTGTTTTGTAAAAATAGCATCCTCAAATCCAAATTCAAATGTAATTTTTTTATAGATGAATTCAAATGTAATATACTATACACCAAAAAAAAAATTAAAACTTTTATATTTGAAAATTTTAATAACTAGTAGACACTCTATTTGATCCAACTAAAATTTATTTTAATAGATTATAAAACCAATTAGAAAAAAAGAGAGAGAAAATAACATAAACATATTTGAGATTAATTATGAAATCAGATTTTAGATGAGATATTAGATTTTGAAGAAATCGAACTTATTTTTAAAATACAAAATGTTTAAATTTCGATTTAAAAATAAAATATTTTAAAATTCAAAAGAAATCAAATCAAAATTCTAGAAAAACAATTTGATTTCTCTGTTATAATCAAAATTCGATACTTCAAAACTCAAAATTTTAATTTGTTGAAATTTAAATTTCAAATTGATATTTGATTCTCCGTAATAATAAATTTAAAAAATGGGGATTTAAAAAATCAAATTATATTGATATTTGATTTTCCGGTTAAAACTTGAAAAAAAAATCACAAAACTGGATTTCAAATTAATGCTTTTTTATTTCTAAACTCAAATTAAATTAGATTTTAGTTTCTTTATTTGCATTATCGATTACAAAAAACAGTAACATTTTACCGAATGCAATTATTTATTACAAACTAAAATTCATAGATATGAAACAAAAATAAGAAAAGTATAATTTTTTTAACAACTCGCTCAATTTCTTCTTCTTTTACTTCTTATTTTCAATTTTTAAATCATCTGAGT